TTCCTGCCTGATGATGTCCATCCTGATTGTTGCCAAGTTCCCTATTCCAGCTCATTGCTTTAACAGTATTGCACTGTTTGCTTCACCTTTCTCTGTGCTCCCTCATTTCCAATATAGGCTATTGTTCTCACTTTGAAGGCACTTCCATCTCTCTTTCAGTACCGAGATCTCATTTGTGCTTCAGTGATATGATTTTCAGGCTCAATCTCTTAAATTTTCAAATAAATATTGCTGTGCTTCCTCTGAAATGTGTGGACCAAACCTGGAAAAGACAGACAGCCATTTGTGTCTGCAAGAGAAGGTACTGTCAAACCATGACTGGTGACTGGCTTTAGTAGAGTCCTGGCCTATGATAAAGAGAATATATTCTGCAATGGTACTAGTTTAACAGCTACTTGTTAAATCTATATCCAGCATTAAGTCACTAGATTGGAAATTGGTGTGCTAGAAACTGTTACTGGGTTACTGTGTTAGAAACTGTTATGTACATCTTTCTCCTCTCTTTCCCGTATAACTTGGTCATCCTGGGGAAGGAGGAACATTATTTTAGCTGAGGGATGAAAACCAGGCAGGAGTTTTTCTCACTCAGCAGATTGTGTAGCAAAGAAAACACAATCATTCACACTTGAATTTTATAACTAGCTTCCCACAAATGACTGACAAGAAAAATCCACTCTCCCTGCCTCTACCCATCTTATTGATACAGATGTGGTCCAAGGCATTACTGGTTACAGATTGGTGGGGGGAAATAACTATTATTTAAGTAGCTTTGCAAAAGTTTTAACCAAGCATTAATTTAAACCCAATTTCCTGTCTCTCTTGAGGAGAAAGGAGGGAGAACGGCGTCTTTTTTTTTTTTTTCCTTGCTTTTGCTTTTAAATTTTCCCACCCCTGTGGCTGGAGGAAGCTGTGTGAAGAACGTGTTCCCACAGCCTGGGGGTCTCCAACAATGCTGCTTCCGGGCAGAGTGCAGCCGGCTCCGGCCCCTGCCCGGGGCACTGTGAGCCCGAGCACGTACGCCGACACCGGCGCCTGGACCTGCCTTGGGTGCGCTTGGGAGAGAGTGCTAAAGCTGAGCAGGAAACGGAGATTTCCCTCATATTCCTCTAGAAATGGCCTTGCACCTTGGGGTTTTTTCATTCTTGGAGGGGATTGCAGTTGTTTTGCATTTGTAATCCAAATCATGGTTTTTGACAAGAAATACAACTGCCTTTGTTGGCAGCCCACATGGCACAGTGCCACTGGTGCTGGGTGGAGTTTTCTGCAGGAGGAATGACAAGTTGTAGTCTCTTGTCCAAGACAGGTGATGACTATTAAATTGCTGTCAGGTGAAAGGTTGACTTGGGTGATTGTTTTTGCAGTTTTGTGACTGGAGGTTATAGTTCCTGCTACATTAAAATTTTAAACACTAAGTAGAGGAGTTGATTAGCTTCTGCTTAAGCCAAATTAAGTGAGTTGGATATTAAAACTTATTTATATTTCTTCGTAAAGTTCTAAAAGCTCAGCTACAAGCTGTTGTTACTTGCTTCTTAATTAAAGTTTAAACTGACTCCTGTCCACTCAGCCTCTTTGCCATTGTTTGACTGCCAACAGCCAAGTATACAGTAACTTAAAAAGGTCAATGAGGCATCTTGTTCATACTCTTTTGGACTGGGCTAACTCTTTTTCAGTAATATTTTCAGTCTCAGGAGATGCATTTACCGGTGCCACTGAGTTTTCTACTGGAACTAAAAGATCAAGACTTGCAAAACTGCAGGTTTCAGTCTGAGGGATGATGATTCCTTTCCACCACCAGTGTTAAATCTATTGGCACATTATTTCATCTTTAGTTCAAAATGAAGCTTAATTTTTTTTTTGTGATCTTGTTTGCATAAGTTTCTGTATAGAAATGGTTTGTTTAGAAGAGAAAATATTGTCCTCATCCGTTAGAAATTTTGTCTGGATATGAATGCAGTAGAAGCAGAAATGTAAAATCTTGCATGAAAGGAGATATTAGCACATTGTCTGTTTCAAGGATTTTAGGCATACATCTCATAACTCGATTGCTTTTCTTACTTGGTGTCTACAGTTGTACCAAATTTCTAGCACAACGTTTTACGCCTCTTAACACACATATTTTGCACTTTTTGGTGGGGGAGAGGGAGATTAATATTACCCAAACTCAATATATATGATAACCGACTTTCCTATTTCTGAATTTTGTTTTTGTCTGTAGGAGTGCAGTTTGGTCTCTTACCACTGTAGTACTAGGCTGTTCACTTTCTCTGATGATTTCTTCAAAGGTATTAAAAACCAAATAAACCCAACAACAGAAAAAATTGCACAAGTACTGGTGGATTGGTAGAACTGATACATTTTAGATCATGATTTTTATGTCGTTTATATTTTTTTTCTCTTCAAGAATATTGACATAACAAACTTCAGCAGTAGCTGGAATGATGGCTTGGCTTTCTGTGCAGTCCTCCATACTTACCTCCCAGCCCATATTCCCTATCAAGAACTAAACAGCCAGGACAAGGTAAGATGTTAAAAATCCCATTCCTGGGACTGTAAAATTAGTATTTATTATTAATTAATAAAGAAGAATGAACAAATTTGAGTTTGAAAAAACCACAGTATTACTGGGGTTTCTAATTGGAACACTTCCAACTACCTTGCTGCTATTCTTATTATAAACTTTTAATACTATGAGATCATTGGGTTAAACAGAACTTTGGAACAGATGTAAGGGGAAAAAAATTACAGGACTTCATAAATCTAAGTCTGAGGCATTATATTTAACCCAAACAGTGTTTTCAGTTAGGGTTTTAGAAGTAAAGAGTGTTTAAGCTTAAAGATTAAATCCATCAAATTTGTATGTTGACGTGTTTTGTTCATCTCTTTCAATATCACAAGGATGTTGTTTCATCCTACTTTCTCATACTGATAAGTGACTGTGATGCTCTTCTCAAGTGATATGTATCAAATAAAGGTAAACCAGAAGATGTCAAAACTTCAGAGTAGTCTGTATGTGTTCTAGTGTGCTGCAGTTAATACCTACTGGTGTGTTATCTGGAGATGTATTATTAATGATAATACATCCTAAATAAATATTTCAGTAACACATGAGGAATTTTATTTATGCTTTCTAAAGAATACATAATCTATTCCTTAGCATTTTATAACTCAGGCATTCTTTACTAACAATAATTTTTCAGCCTTATTTCCTGAATGAGGTATTAATAAGAAATTTCCATGATTTTTTTGGATGACAGTAGGATGTGTTCATTCATATGGCTCTTTTAAAATCACTAGTCAAATTATAAGCTCCATTTGAAGCAAACAGCAGTGTTACTATGAACATTCTTAACACTGCTTTATTGTGTTTGAAGTAGTACATCCTCGGTTTCTAACATATTTTTATATCTCATGCAGAGAAGAAATTTCACTTTGGCTTTTCAGGCAGCTGAAAGTGTTGGCATCAAATCTACTCTGGTAAGTTTTAAATGCATACAGAATGAATTATGACCCATTTATAAAAATCAAATGATTCTATTTTGTACTTAGACTTTGATGCTTTATACTTAAAAATAGCAGGAGATGAGCTCAGCTAGAGGCTATTGCTCCCGTATCATACTTGACTGAAAAACATAGGAGATACTCCTTGCCTCAGTGGCTTTCAGTAAACCCTCTGTCATCAACAAGTTAGGCATAAAACAGTGACTGAGACACAGACACATAGTCCAGCAGCTGCAGCAAAAGCAACAGTGTGATAGCCTATAGCAGATAAACTCTTAAGTTATGAAAGGAAGATTCACCCAAACTCATCTCTCAGTATCATCAGAAATACTAATAAAGGCAATGGATTTTTTTGAGACTAATTTGAGAAATAGTTGTGATACAATCTTTGAGAATGCATTCATTCTCTTCTGACTCTGACTTACTTTCACATTATTCGGGTTTTTTGGAATTCTGTATGTACAAGTCAAGTTTTTATAATTTGCTCTTTTGTTGATTGTAATATGAGAGTCAAGATTTACCTTTTAAATTTAACTTGCCATCATTGTAAATACTTGTAAGGTTTTTTCAATTATTGTTTATAATAAGCTGCCTTATAAAAGTTTTAAATTAAAGAATTAGTTTTCAAGAGTATAGTATTTACTAGAAAAGAAGGATTTCTGGAAGTACAGATTTGGGAGTATCCCAAGCCCTTATGAATAATGACAAAAATTTAGCTAAAATTGGTAGTATGGGGAATGATACTTACACAGTATTTCTGTAATCTAAATTCTAACAAAGCTGCCATAGTTAGCAACTAATAATACAACAGTCAGACATTTTTAAAAATAACACTTTCCTTGATCCTTATCAGTGCTTTTACCACCCCCAGCATTGTATTTGCTGACAATGGCAGTGCAACTGTTGGGCTTTCATACTTTGACTTTGTCAGTGATGTGAAACATGGAAGTTTTGTACCAAGGGCTGATGTAAGAACTAGATTGTGGAAAATAACTGCAGTAATTCCTAGATAATTCAGCTTTAGTCTAAATAGTTACTGTCTGCCCTTTCCTTTTGTAATGTACTTAATTACAGATACTCTAAAAAGGCAAACTGACTAGAATTAAGTCTTCTAAGCATGAAGTCTGTCCATTTTAAGGATTTAATATCTATTTATATACCTGTGTTTACAGTGTCTATGATGTGTATGTGGATTTTTTTCCTTGTCCATATTACATGGGTGGAGAGTGAAAAAGGGTGTGAAAAATACTATATGTAAATAGTAGTAGTGTAAGGGGAAGATAGTTGTTGCCTGAATAAGAAGGTGTTCAGCTACTTTCATGTGGAACATTTGAAAAAAAAAAAAAATTACTTTCTCCTTTTCGAATTCTGGAGGTTCCTGGGCCCAAAGCTTACAAAATAGACCCTTACAGTGAAAAAAATTATTGGAAATTACATCACTCTGTTTTCCTTTGGTAGATGTGCTGAAAAGGGTAGATCAGGCTTTGTTTACCCTGATTATTCACTGACAACCTGAGGTACTGTTACTGTGAGATGCATGTGAACTGGCCTGTCAGACAGACATGCTGGTCACTTTGTCTCTTGAATATACTTAAATTGGTAGTAAACTTCCCTCTTCCTTGCCCCTTTACTCAAAAAATATGTATAAACTAATCTAAAGTTCAGTATTCTAGTGGGATTCAATTATTCATTGATGCTTGACCCTTACCTTGATAATGGATTTTGAACTTTAGCTTCAGTCAATCTCTGTGACTCAGTGTTTCTAGGTAGACTGCCCTGACTTGTGAGGCTGATGTAGGGGTATGTGAACACTCAAGTCTTGACTATTGTACTAAGTGGGGGAGAACTCAGGCATGCACAACATGAGACGTGTTGATCTTAAGTCAACAAAATGTCTGTCTACAGATAAGCTATACATAGCTGTTTATATTCTGTAATACAGAGATATCTATGGAAGAAAATAGAGCTTTCTTCATCAATGCTTTAAGTTGTGGAAACTTTACAGATTTACCATTCCCAGGAGTTTGTAAACACTACCACGTTCTCACAAGGGTCTCATTCCTGCTTTTGACCAATCTGTTTTCTGTGACAGGACATCAATGAAATGGTGAGAACCGAGCGTCCAGACTGGCAGAATGTCATGCTGTATGTTACAGCAATTTACAAATACTTTGAAACCTGAAACCCTAATAATGCAACAGATCCATGGGATACAACCGACATGAGCTACCAGATGGAAATCATACTGAAATGCTAATCCCCATTTCACTGAAAACTGGCAACATTTGAGTCCCCTCAAACTACAGTGACAATATACTGGATTGCCTCAGATTGCTTCAGCTACTAAGCCTGGAAACAACTGTTTAAAAGCAAGAACTTGTTGCCACAGTGTTTGTAATAACCCAAGTTATTAAGCTATTCAGACTAATTATGTAGCCTAAAGAGCCTGGACTAATTCTGTGCTGTCTTCCCAGCCAGACTTCCTGAAGTTTTCTTTCCTAGGAGAGTGAGATGAATGGATCCTCTAGCATATAGGAGACTGAATGTACAGTTAAAGCTTTGAGAAGGAAAAGGATAACATGGATAAAAGGATCATATTAATGAACTTCCTGTAGCATCTTGATACCACAGAGTCTGAATATTCTTCCCATGGCATATGGCACCCTGGCACAGTAGAGTTCTTAATGGTAATTTAGTTACTGCCTTTACAGCTATTTTCTCGCCTTTGAAATGTGCACAATATTCTAGGAAAAGAAGCTTTTATTCCATAATGACAAATTGAGTGGAAAAGTCCTCTCAATACCTCGAAAAATTTGGCACAGAAGAACTCTTCATTCTAAAGCTTCATTATAAGCCTACCTCTGTCACAGTGATGTGGCTTCCAACTTTATCTTATGGATTGTAAAGACTAGCACATACAGCTCCTGGTTTTCAGGGTACGCTGTACTTCAAGAAATCTGTCCAAGCTCCCTGTGCTTCCATAGAACAGAACTGAGTCAATAACCCTTGTATGGCTTATTCTCTCCCTTCTTCCTCCTTTGCCTGTATAGCACGCAGAGCTACCCCAGGCTTGCCTTCACAGCAATACGAGCATACATCATGGATTTCTGTGGTAGAATTTTGGAACTGGGATAGGATTTCCTCTGCAGAGAAGATACTTTCAATAAGATGTAAGAATGAAGTAGTTTTGTCTCAAAATCCAGCTTTGCCATGTGTTCTATGTCTCTCATTGATCTTGCACATCCTCATCTGACTAACAGAAGGTGAGACATTCCCTGACAAGAACTCTGGAGGAACTGATGTAATGTGTATATTGAATATTGTGTGGAAATGACTCACTGTCACAAGGAAGGAACTGAGAAACTTTAGTCCGCTCAACTTCTATTTTCCTAAAATGTACCTGAATTCATGTAACAGCTCTCGGACAAAAGAGTTCATGTAAGTGCCTTATTGATCACTGGATTGATCCATCCTGGCACTTCAGGGCCTTGTGCAGAATGTTAATGGCTCAGAATGATTTCATATATCCATTTGTCATACGCTGTTTGTTGTAATCTTGTTTGTCAAATCAAGGGAAGGCTTCACTTTTAACATTGCTTCTGCTGCTTGTTTTTCTGAATACTTACCATAGTTGAACATCTTTCATTAATATTAAGCAGAAGCCTACTTGAGAAGTGAGTTCTGTGACAACTGCTATTTATAAGCACATGCTCTTCAACACAGTAACCCTCTTGTAACAAAAATGAATCTGCCATTCTTATGGTGCTCTTATGACTGTTAAGGACAGTTTGAATGTCATAGATGTTAACCCAGTGAAAGCAACTGTGCTGGGCATCTGTGAAACTTGGTATAAAAGCACAGATTTCACTCCAGATTTTTGCCAAACCCAAACCACTATCATCTGAAGAACATAGCCCATGTGAAGAGTAATAATTCAGCATGTCTAGCAGCTAGCATTGTATAAAAATAGACATTACACTGATACGTGCCTGTGAGAATTACAGACATTTACAAAATAACTACTTAATCCATGCTGAGGGCCTTTGGAGAAGTTTTCAGAGCAGCAGTGTCTCATACATTCTTGCAGTTCTTTAGAACACTAAAAGTAGTACCTAGATACCCTTAGGTTATTAATTGGTGCATTTGAAGAGCAAACATAATCTAAAGACAATTACTGCAAGTAAAAAATCTTCCTTACCAGATTTTATTAAAAGTCTGAAATACAATTTCCTATCCTGCAGATTTTTTTCAAAAATTTTTCATTTCTTCAAATAAGTTCCAGTACAAACAGTCTTGTTGGAAATGTACATTATTGCTGTCTCAAATTCCATCTACTGCTACTAAATTCCAGGTTTTGCCAATTTGCTTTTAGAAAACCTGTTTATTCATCCTCTGAATGGACAGCCTCATCTATGATTGTCTTTTGCTTAAAATCTGAGGCAAAGAATATATTTTTTTCTAATGAAAAGAATAGCATTTTTTGGTCTAAATTCCCTCGTGACCTGTTTCTAAGGTAATTTGAGCTTCAAGCTGATTTTTTTTTTTTTCCCTCCCCTGTCCAGTGGTCTCTTTCATTTACCTGGAATGTTGTATTGGTCCTTGATTGAAATGACACTATTAGTGTAACCATTTCTAAAGTGGGAAATCGCATTTTCCAGATACTTCCTGTTGAAAAGATGAGCTGCTAGTCTTCAGAGAAAGGAGAAGAGTTATTTGTAATTATAAAAATGATCTTGTTTTGAACATCAGAGCTCTGTAAACTTCTCGATGTGACCTGTCAGATAAACCTCTGCTGAGTTCATAACTGTAAAGAAATATTTGGCTTCATGAAGAGATTTTTTTAAAATAATTATATATCTGAGCTTTTACATATAAGGTGCTGCATATAAGGTTGAAGTGGAAGTAATACAGCAATGGAAGACTTAAAACAAACATAATGCCCTGCTGCATTCTACAACATGTTTTTTCTGAATATTCAAACCACATTCAATTTTTCGAGAGGAGGAATAGCTGTAGCCCTTGTGGACGTGGATGATAGTGTTCTGTTTGCTTCCTACTCGTAGTTCATCCTGAAACAGCCTGAGTTTTTTTCTACATATAGAGTGCAAATTTATGCTGATTTACTTTCCTTTCTTTTTAATCCAGAAAAATGTTTCTGAATGTACTAAAAAAAGTCAAATATTTTATCAATTTATATTACTGCATTTTAATACGTGCCTTGCAAATGCCTGTGCTGTAGCATATCAGGGTTACTTGTTGCCACCTGTAGCAGTGGGGTGGGCAACAAAACAGCTGTGGAACACACTGATGCAGATACAGCTGTATCATCTTCTGGGTCCTGTTTACTGAAATGCTTCCATAGATTAGAGAGGTCACTTTAGAGCCAGCTGTGGACTCAGTTTGGCTAGTTGTCATCCTGGTGCCAGATCATTAGCAATGCAGCGAATGAGCAGTCGTGGGGTTTTCTTTTCCTATCCCTTCTTTTTTGGTAAAATGTAGGTTTGGTTATTTAGGAAAATTCTGTCAGAGATTTTGATATGGAGGATCTTAACAATAACAGGACTGAGGTGACTTCAGAATGGGTCACACTTGATTTGGTTTGCAGTTGATTTTGTTTGACTCAGTTTGATTTAGTTGTCTTGTATATTTAAACAGAAATACTAATTTAGTATCTCTGGTTTGAATCTCTGGCCCTCACAAAGACCTCTCTTTCTCATGCCTCTGAAAAATTGTGAGTGAAATTTTCCCTTTTTAAATTGTGTTTGAGGATAGATTATCGAGAATATAGTATTTAATTACAGCATATTCTGATCTAAAAGTAAATTTTTGTCTCTTTGGCAAAAAATATGTTCCTCAAGTCACATGCAGCATTTCTGATAATGTTTTTCTCCAGTTTTGTACAATATTTCCATTGTTTGTGTTTTTCTGTGAAGTCCGTCATCACACTTTAGGGACCTCTTACTTTGCCAGAACTAAATGCACTCAGCTTTAATGTGTTGGTGTAAACTCAGTGTCACGGGCAACAGTTGTACTCTGGCTTTATGTGTGTGAGGAGAAATCAGTTTGGAATTCTGTAATGATGCAGTACAGTGGCTTAAACTGCTGAGGATCTGCCGTAAGAATTTTGTAGCTGTGATGAAAAATTCTCATTGACATCTCATTTCTGTTAATGATCTCAGTGTTATTGCTTATTTTCTTAGTTCCCTGCTTCAACAGTTCAGACACTTGGATTCTGTTGCATCTTTTCCACCACAAAATAATTACTTTTGCTTAATTATTTCTGTATGGTTTTGGCTCAGGGTATAAATTTTATTATAGCCTAGTTTTAAACAAGATTTGGGAAGTTGGACATATGGAGAACTTCTGGGTGTTTTTCTTACTTTCTTTGTTTTCTTTGTGGAGAACTTGCTTGGGGCCTGGGACTGCTGTCTGATTTTCAGGTGATATGTGACGGTATCTTCCAAAGCTGTTCCTCTGGATGGCTGACATGAAGCTATGCATAGGCTGAAGCTAAGCCTTCAAAACTGTGTTCGTGTGACTCTTGTGGTAACTTCGTATTTGTCTCTTGCAGCTAACACAATCTCAGCTTAACTGCAGGCTGCATCAAGCAGGAGATATTAAGGGGCAGAATTCTTCTGGGAAGGAATCCAGTTCTATACCTTCATACAAATTATTGCCTATTGTGAGTAATACTCTTGCTGAAGTGGCCTAAGAAAGAGAATTTTAAATCATTAGTATTCATGTACAGATTTAACTATCTAGTTTGCGGTCCTTCCCTTGCCTTAGTAAATATCTATTTCTGGTTTATGTTCTGCCAGTCTCTTATTTTTGCAACTCCTTTCTTTAAGTTAGTGTTATTGTATGACTACTCCATAATATTAGCCAATTTGAGAAAAGATTTGGAGAGAAGAGGTGTTAAAGTGTAATTGTCATCCATGAGTTATGAACGTGCCACTGTGCTTTCCCAAGTTAGTGTGTGTTGATTAACTCTCCCCAGACTTGCTTATGTCCCATCTAGCCTACATCACCCCCGGGTGTCCATCAGGTGTTCTTCCCCCAAAATTATCAACTCCTTAGATGAGTTAAGGGTTCATAGACAGCTCTTAATATATTTAATTGTCCCTACTTAGAAAGGTATTTCTAATAGTGTTTCTGCTTTCATAGAAGAGTGACTGGATGGGTTTTAAACTACTGTCTGGCTTGCTGAGCATTCCCAGTCCTTCCTTCAGCTAAGTTTTTTTTCTGTTGTGTTCCCTGATTTCAGTATCAGTGTTGTAGTACACTTTGTAGTTGTCAAAGCCAAGATGTTAAGCATCTGGAATACGTAGCAAGTACGCTTTTGATAATTAATGCTAAATAACATAAAAGATCAAGGCTTGTACAGTTCTGATTTCTGTTAGAGTGCTGATATGAGTGTCTTTTTCCTTAAGTATTTACTCTTGCCAATTTTTGGGATGCAAACCCCTTGAACTCAGTGTGACAAGGGCACTGTCCTAGCTTCCTTAACTGAATTCATTTTGCAATAATAGAACTATTTCCTCACACTGAACCTCCAGTAAAGCCTATGAATACCAGATGACTTCCTTCCAACTAGCATTAGCTTTTACTTGGAATATTCTTAATCCTTAGGCCACACTGTCACAGAGTTGCACATAAAGTTCCCAT